TTATACCTCCTAACTAAAAAAACAAGTCTGCTGGACTTTAGTTTGTGTAAAATCCTAAAATCCTCACCAGCTCCTTAATGTTGTTGCTCTTATAAACGTTTCTCACATCCTTTTTCACCAAAGGACAGGCTTCGTCTACTTTAGTGAGCAGGACCAGCTGAGGAACCCCTGGAGACACAAGAGCAGAAAGAACATTTACAAAATGCTATAGATTGTTATGTGTTAAGTTTCCAGCTCTTCCTGGGGGATCCCGAGGCGTTCCCAGGCCAGCCAATGATATAATTCCTCCAGCAGGTTCTGGGTCTGCCCCGGGGTTTCCTCCCAGGTGGACGTGTTTGGAAGACCTCCAGAGGAAGCCTCTGCATCCGAATCAGGTGTCCATACCACCCCAACTGGCTCCCTTAAAGGTTTCAGCAATTTGTGCAGCAGAACACCCTGGACAGGTCACCAGTCTATCACACTTAGAGACAGACAACTGAGCACACTCACATTCACACCTACGGACAATTTAGAATCACCAATTAACCTCAACATGTTTTTGGACTTGTGGGAGGAAGCCGGAGAACCCGGAGAGAACCCACGCTGCACAACTTATAAGTATCATGTATTATTATTATCATCATCGATTTTATTTGCTTCCCCTCTCAGTGGTTGTAATGTTGTGGCTGGTCGTTCTCTACTGTGACCTCCTGACCTTCTTCTCCTACTAACACCCAGAACTTTCTACACAAAAATGACCTGAACAGTTTCAAAATGTAAAATGAAGAAACTCTAACATCACTGGGGTGACGTCCCCAAATCTGGACTCGATAATCCAGGTGAGTGTTGAAGAAGAACACATCTGAAGGTTTGAAGGAGGACGCACACATGAGACACAAACATCCTCCTTCTTTCTGTCATGACAGACACAGACAGACTTTTATCATAAGCATATATACTTCTTAAGTCTTATTTTTCTTACTGTTGAATGTACATGCTTGTGTTTTCAGTTACATTAGAAGTTCACCTTGATTCTAAGAACTGCTGTAGCAACAGTGAAAAACAAACCTGGAAGCAAATCAGGACCCAACATACAGACGGACAAAGTCATAAGTTTCGTTTTCTTGGCAGACTCACAAAGAACGAGCCACACCTAAAAACTGAACCAAACTCACATCACCCCAAAGAAAACCTGTCATACTGGCTCCTAGAGTCTGATGAGGTTCAGGAGGAGGAGGACCGAGAGTTGATCATCCACAAATCAACATCCGCAAAATCACCCTGGCCATTTATTCAGCTTTGTCTTTGAACAAAGCTAAAACAAATCTTCCATTCAATTAGTTATATTCTTTAATTACTCAGTTTGTGTTCTTTGATTCACGCTCTGTTTGTTACGTAATTCTTGTCTGATTTTATTAGTTGTAGCCGTAGTTAATCATCGGTTTGTGTATTATTGTCAGTTCTACCTCGTATTTCTTTGTCTGAGAACTGGACGACTTGTGATTCGAAGTGTTACGTCCCCTCTTAACAGGAGGAATGCTGCAGCATTTCTCAGTCTTTTTTGCAGATGTTTTTTTTTTTTTTTGATAGCAGAGCTTTAACTTGAATGAAACAATACTTCTCTAAAGTGTTCCTGAGCCCACACAGGGATTTCCACAACAGAACTGTTTTTGATGCGGTGCTGCCTGAGGGCCTAAAGATTCATTCATTCTTATTTTCCAGGGAAATCTTGCGTACAGATATTTCTCAAGATTCTCTGAATGTTATGATGGAAATGTGCACCTCAGATGATAAAATCCCAAAATTGTTTGCAGTTTGCATCTTTACTTCATTTACTCAATCATCCCACTGACCTGTTGCCAGTTAACCTAATTAGTTTTCAGATGTCTTTTGTTGTCCCAGTTCTTTCTTTAACGACTGGTACATGCATGTAGAGCAATTCTGTTTGTTAAAATGGTTCCTTTAAAGAAAGAGATCCCTCTCAGCATTAAAATATTACAACTTTTTAATTTTATTCAGAATTACACAAGTTTGACAATTAGGACCGTGTAAAACAATAAAACAAAACTACAAAAAATGGCAGGTTACAAGGTCGTTTAAGTCTCATGTGTAGCATTTTTGAGTTATTATTTTCACAAAACAGTAAAATCCTGCACACAACGGCTCCAAAATGAATTAATGGAAGATTGTCTTGAAATGATACGTTGAGACTTCAGACTATTTACATGTGAATGGTGACTTTCTTAATATTATCTGAAGGACATATTTCAAAAGCTCTGGCATTTAGTTTTTGAATTTCACCGACTCCATGTCTTGCGCTGTATTGTCCTGGAAGTACAGGTCAGCGTACTGCAGAATGTGGTCAACAGCACTGAGCAGCAGCACGTCTGTGTTGACATCCAGGTTGAGCTCTGACGAGTAGTTCCTCACGGGAACGATGTAGGAGGTGGACATACCCAGCAGAGCTCCTGCTTTACTCATCTGCAAACACACAAGCACAGCAGCAGGATTCAGTCCCATTGAGCGGGTTGAGAACAACGTCCCACCAGACTCACCGTCTCACTGTCACCTGAGAATGATCAACTTAAAAAGTGTGGCGGTTTTTAAGGATCGAGACCAAAATTATTCTCGTTTCTCACTGAAAGTCAGCTCCTGTCTGCTCTTCCTTTAAATGTAATCAAGGCAGAAAATTCAAAGCTCTGATAGCTTCAAAACCCTCATTTTGGAAGCACTTAAAAATGATTAAATATAGTCTGTGCTTGCTTTGATTACTTGTTTGTGTTTTCTACCCACATTCTGTTCTTTCACACACCGATCTCGTTCAAGCTTACATCCGCGACCAAACTCAAACATGTTAGAACAGCAGGTTAACAAGCGTCTGTCCAGTTCAGTAATTACTAATAAGTTAAATGATTTCTGTTTCCAAACCGGTGTTGACTTGTGTCAGGTTCAGTGCTTCTAGAGGTTATCCTGCCTTATGTTCATGGTGCTATGTGTAGATCATTTTCCTTTTACGGAGGAGTTACCAAACAGTAAAGCATTTCTTCAGCTGCATATGGTTTATTCCAACTTACCATGTCCTGAACTATGCGGCTCTTGTACACGTGGGTGACGTCTTTGGCCGTTTCTGAGCAGATTTTGTCCACTTGTGTCAGCAGAGCCACCTGGTGAACACCTAACAGACCCAACACAGTGCTGCTGTCATGACGGTTTCACAGCAACGTGTCACAAAATGCACTTCATTCTGAGGCTGTGTTTGAAATCATCCAATCACTCCCTACTCCACTTCCACATTTCTTCTTTTCACGTTCTCTTCGTTATTTATTTACTATCTTATGTATTTTTACTCTTTTAATTTTTCATTTGATCTTTCGTCGGGCCTTTCACACTTGAAAGTTTTTAGTTTTTAACTCCAGTGTTTCATTAGGGGGGTCCTCCATACTGGGGTCTGCTGCTGGGGGTTCTGTCGGCAGGTCCCCTCGGCCCGGCTGGTTGGGGGGCTCCCCGCCTCGGTGTGGGGGTCCTCCTGTCTATCGGGGTCGGGGGGGTCCGGGTGCCGGCGCTTTTTGTTTTGCTTTTTGTATGAGAAGTGCTATTTAAATAAAGTTTGATTTGATTTGATTTACTATGTAGGGAGAACCTCAGCAAACATTTCAGACACTACATGAGCTATTAATTAAGTCGCTCGTTGGCTGCAGCGTAGTGCAAACACATCAGTTTATGACACAGCTAAAAAACGGGTAAAGATATAATTTAAAAAACCTAAACGGGAACTTTCTTAGATCTTAACAACAAGTTTTCTCTTGTTTGCATTTCCTTTCACACAGTGCATGATGGTCCATGTTGCTGGTTAGTGACCATCAACTGTACGTTACTTTCACGATGCTTTGTGGGATGTTTTGAGTGCACTACAGGGTGTAATATTTATACCTTAACATTCGGTCAGCACTACAAAATGGGCAACACCCTGTATAGTGTATATATGTGTATATGTTGGGCACAGGGAGTGATTTCGGACACAGCCTTCGTTTCCAGGGAAAGTACATTAGTGACACTTTACACTTCCTTTCGGTTGATATCTCAATGTAGAGTCTAACTGTTCTGCTCATCAGTTCCACTGTGAGTGTGACAATTGCAAAACCCAACAAAGAAGATCTTGAAATCTTAATGCAATGGATTATTATTATTATTATATTTGGATCTGTGAATGATTAAAAAGGAATTACAGCTTTGGTTTCAAAAGTACCAAACTCCTTCACACAGAAAAATTCTACTGTTGTGAAGCAAACAGTAATAAAAAAGTGGCTGTAATGAAGCAAAACTCAGGTTACAGTAAGAAAATAAATGACATGAATTCCATCTAACATCCGTCTCTGTGTAAACATCTGTGTGTTCAAAGGCCTGTTGGTTTTTCGCTCACCCAGGTCACTGATGTGCTCTCTGAGCTGTTGGAAGGTGGAGCTGAGGCCTTTGGGGTAGGTCAACACTTTGGAAGCGTCCACTACAAAGGCCACACAGTGGATCTTGTCCTGAAGGGTTGGCCTCCTCACATAGCCCTCAGTCTCAGCTGTAACTGGCTGATCTGGGCTGAACTGGGAGACAGAAATGAAGACGGTACGTTTTCAAACAACAGCTCGTGTTGCCAACATTTGTTTAACGGCTGATGAGTGTGTCAGGAGTTTCGCAGGAGTTTGAGTCAAACGATTGGGAAACATGAAAAGTCTAACCTAAACTATCCAACAGTGGTCGAGATGTTTGACTCAGAACCACAAACTTTAAAGACCCACTTCAACATGTCCATATGGCATTTTTCATATGTTGGCAGACACATGAGTGAAATAAGTAGTCGACACCGTGGCTGAGAATTTCCACCTCAAAACTGTATTGTCCTGATGAAAGTCTAAAAAACAAAGATTCAGACTTCCAACGTTTTATTCCTAAACGTGTGCTTGAGGTGCAGCGAGTGAGAGATGCAGGGACTTCATAGCAACTGTGTAGCGTTACATCTAAGCCTTTTTTTTTAATGCAAGAAGAGCTTCATTTAAAGGGAAAAAAATGGGGGGGAAAGGAGTTTAATCAATGACCAGAGAGGACGTCATCCTCTGGGGGGCGCTAGAGGAAAAGCCAGAGAATCACTAAAATAAGTACATCCTCTGGAAACAATAAACGCCCGTGCAAAATCTGAAAATCTGTCTAGTAGTTGTCTAGCTGCCAGTCTGGACTAAAGCGGTGAACCAAACCACCGCCCAGAAGCCATCTTCAGTGACAGTTATACTACAACACTGATGCTGCTTACCTTGTGTCCCACAGGTACGTGGCCTTTAATGACTGACAGGACGTCATGAAGAGTCAGTCCGGTCATCTCTCCGTCACTCAGACCCATGATATCACACAGCACCACTCCGGTCGGGTCCTCCCCCTTCTGACCCAGGATGTTGAAGGGCTGTAGCTGGCACAATACAATGAACAACTTACTCCTCCAGTCTGTTTGACACAAGAATGACAATTCGACCCAACTGTCTTCTTCTAAACGAATTTGAGACTTTCATGTTCAGTTTTGCTTTCATGTAGCTTTTTGTCTCGTCTTCTATTTTTTAAACCCTCAAGTCTTGTCTGTTTGTATCTATATTTTAGTCTTGTTTATCTTGTTTATCTTGTTTATCTTGTTTTCATTCAGTATAAACTCTGAATTAAGCATCAAAATTCACTCCTGACCAGAAAAAGTATTTAAATCTAACAACTATTGTGAGACTGAAAGCTTGTGAAAAGCTAGCAAGTGGACATTGAGTTGGGACTCCTCGGTCAAGCTTCAACTAGTTTGGTCTCTACTTTGGTCACTGACCGTCTACATCTCACTGTGATGAAACATTGGAAAAGAGAAAGCAGTGTGCGGGTGTTTTTCATGTTGAGATGAAATGCTCAGACCTTCGGCGTCTACCTCAAAGGTTAAATGAGGCTCACACTCTTCCTCTGACATGCTGCTGCTCCACTTGTACCTTTTTTGTGAAGCTGCTGGAGGAGGAGGAGCCCACCATGGCCCGGTTGGTGACTCTTCCGCTGAACACCGACTGAACTGAGCTGATGAAGCTGGACTTCCCGGCGCCGACCGGACCGAGGAGGAGAACCTGGGCCTGAGTTACCTCCCCAGAGCTCGGCCTGTAGGAGCTGACAGTCTTCATCAGGTTGGTCCTTTGCCTGGTTTGGAGCATAACATGTTCACTTGCTGTTCAGAATGTTCCAAGACAAAGTAGGAATATTTTCATCTAAAGGAGCTAAAACACATCCTTCAGACTGCTGGTAGTTCCAGTCATGTGACTCTATTGAACAGTACAGCTCTACTCACTCTGCTGTCCACTCCACGTCTCTCCACGGAGATTCCAACTTTGGACGAACTGTTGAAGAAGCTTCCATACCTGAGGAGATTTAATGAAATATTCAGTGTTTGCTATGTTTTACCTGCTCTGGAAAGTGAAATGCATGTAAATTAACCTGACTAAGTAACTACAGGTAACGAATCACAGCGATGCCACATCCAGACGTGTCCAGAAGCTCCGACTGAATTTATGAACACAAATAGTTTCTCAGACCAGAGCCACAACGTGAGTGACTTCACTGATGTGACCAGCAACAGACTGAAAACAGACTCGATCCATGTAGGAGGGTTTTCGAAGCTCTCTGACCATCCAACAACCAGCTCCCCTGATGTCAGACTTTGTTATAATACAGAGTTGTGCAGAAACAAGAGAGTTGAAGATATGGAAACACAGCACAACTTCTAGCAAAATGTCACGCTCTGTGTTTAAAGAGTGCTTTGTTGACAGGCTGTTCCTCTAAATTACTATTATGACATTCTGAGCATTACATTTAGAATTCTGAAATATGCATTTCAAATATGCAAATACACAACTAGAAACACAATATATCAAAGCTACTGCTACTGAAGCCTCCAAACATTTTGCAGTGCATCTTCTATTTTGCATCAGTGCTGCTCTTTGGCAAAAATCTTGTAAGAAACAATGACGAACTCACCTGAGACCGTGAACAAAGCTCTGTGCTCCTTTCTCGCTGTTGAAGTGCTTGTCGTAGGTAGGCTGACAGATTTGGGTACTGTTACGACGGGATTAAACTGGAGTGCAGTAGCAGTTGTGGTAGTCGGAGTGGGAGCTGCAGCTCCAAAATTAAAGCTGAAAAAAAGAAAATCACATACATCAAAGGAAGAGCAGAGACAAATCAAAGAGACTTAAAATCAGTGTGAATGTCTGGTAACAGTGTCGCACTTAAAATACTTTACACTAAATACTCCAGATGTGGTGACATTTTAGTTTTAGCGCACGACGAAAAAAATCTGCAATAGAATTGAACTGAAGTAAACAGCAGCACACAAAGTGAATGACCCATGACCGACTGCACTGATTTAACACAGCATCCATTTCTTATTTTCTGACTGTCCAACAACATTAAATATTATTCTGAGCAACAGGTCGATTTTCCCTATTGGCATTTTGTAAACTGATGCTGTGCTATCATGTATTCCCACACAGCCTACAACAGGCCACACCTTTCATCATTATTATTAATAAAATGATGAATTTAAACTCAGATAACCATGACCAGATTGAAACATCAGGGATTCTGTCAGCTCATCAACGCCTCGTATGAATTGTAACTGGCAAGAGTCAGAATTTATTCATGTGGTTCCTTCTCCTCTGTCCACAGATGAAGGGCAAACCGCTACAACAGGGAATGCTAGAAAGTAAGATATGGTTTCAGCCCTCATCCACCTGCTTAATATGCGGCCCATGCATTCCATCCGTCCATCATCTACACACCGCTTAATCCTCACTAGGGTCATGGGGGGCTGGAGTCTATCCCAGCTGACTCAGGGTGAA